ACATTATGATTCTCACTTTGCACATGGATCAATGGTGGCAAAGGGACTTGGCCAAGATGACCCAGAGTCAGTGACAGCACTGGGTTTAGATCTTAGCAGTTTCAAATTTTATATTAATTTCTCTTATCTTTAAAGGTCTGTTTGGTTCTAATTTGAAATCCTGACTCCAGCTAGCCAGAGCTAACCTGAACCCAATCTGAGCCTGAGTGTAGAGTTCTTTTCAGAGACGACCAGACTCTGGAAGTCCCCCTCTGTAGCAGTGTTCCCTGTAAGCTGAACACTTGGACAACCACTCAGGAGAGATTCAAACTCTGCCCAGCTGATTAACACAGCACCCACAGCCAATAGCATGTGTTTTTGCTGGTGGTGCACATCTGCACATACCTTGGTACACATAATAACATTTATTCTGCACATGAATGGAAAAAAATTGAGGGGATATTGCTCTGTAGGAAGTAATATGCAGATTGTCAGCATCACCACCCAGAGTCGTAACTAGCTAATTTGGCGCCTGAGGCAAGACTGTCTTCGGTGTGGGCAGGGATGCTGATGTGGCACGAGGTACGAGTGAAGACAGCATAGTAGCTCACTTTTCTGCGCCCCCTCAGCTATGCTCCTGAGGCAAGTACCTCACTCACCTCACCCTTGTTATGGTCCTGTCACCACCTCATCCTGGGACTTGGTTTGGTGGGGATTCCTTGTTCCCAAGCCCTGTACCCACTATCCATCTGCTGCTTCCCACGTGTGGGATTAGGTCAGCAGTAGTGGCATGCCCTCTCCTGACAGCCTCCACATCTCAGAGCACAGCATGTTTTAAAATAAAATAAAAAATTAAAACATTACACAACATCAACAAGAGTCAGATTCAGGGCCTTGTCTATATAGAGATTTTTTCAGTATATCTTAAGGCTTTTTGTGTAAGTGCCTTGCATCTGCACATAATTTTTCCCATTTTATTTTGCATCTTATCCTGCTATAATTATTAGTTTTGGAAGCAACATATTTTTGATTGGGCTATAAAGTTCACATAGATGCAGCCCTATTTCAAATTAACTATATCACTTTAGGCAATCCCTTCCACTGCAATCCCACATTCACATCTGAATTGACCTGTTTGGTTACCTGCACTGCTCTGAGGTCAACTTGACCAGATCTCCCCCTGTTTGAATGCTGGCACACACTTAAGCAAATCTGCTTATAACTCCTCTTGTGGCATATTCACAGACTCTAAGTCAATTAAACTCAACTTCCTCATGCTTTCACATGGTACTGTCAGGATATCCTGGATTTCCTTGCCCTGTGGGAAAAGCTCAGTCTTATCTTTCCGGTAATCACCAGAATACAAAAATCGACGAGTGGTTATTAGAGCCAATGCAGGGGTACTTCTAGGATGCAATGCCATGCCAAAGCCAATGAGATAATCACAACCCCCAAAAACACAAATAAGACCTACAGTAATACCCCATATGCTGGATCAGAGTTTTGCCCAAGAGGCACCACAGAACTTGACTGTATGTTAGTTTGTAGGGTTGTCAGGTGTCCAGTTTTGAACTGGACAATCCAGTATTTGAGCTTTCTGTCCGGGAAACAAATTGAGAAAATATAAATGAGAAAATATAAATGTCCAGTATTTTCTAAATAAGATGTAATGTAGATTGTGACGTAATGTCAAGTGTGTCCGGTATTTTTGTTGAAACCATCTGGCAACTCTATTAGTTTGACTGTAGCGAACTACACATGGTGAAGGAAACTTCACTGAGGAAATAACCAACAAGTCTTACAAACTTCAAATGTGTAAATATGGCTCATTACATAATGGTAAATTAATAGACAATTTAATACAAATGATACTTTTGTATTACAGCATGGTGCTTAAAATTACAGAAAACACTGAATGGTCTTTAACACAGAATACAATTTTTAGGAGATATTAGAACCTATGATCTTAGCATTACTAAGATAAGGAACATCTTGAAGAATTATACTGTGTCCATTAGCAGCAACCACTGCAATTACGAAGTCTAGATGGTTTTAAAAGGCGCTATACAGCACACTCTGGCTTGGTGGGAAAATTAAACTGCCACTTACCTTTCTGTCAAAGATATCTGCCTATGAACTAATAGAATGTAACTGAAAACCCTAATCTCTCCCAGAGAACTATTACAGAACCAACTCAAACTGAGGCTCAGCCTCAGACACCTATATGACAGGGAGACTGAGGAATGGAAAGGTTAAGTAATTCATGCAAGGACACCACTAAGAGATAGGCACCTAGAATGCCAGTTGGGCACCTATCAGTGTTTCTTTAGACACTTAAATGCAAACAAATAAATTATAAGAAAAGTTCCACACAGGAAGTCTATGAAAGAACCAGTAAGCAACCCAAGGGGGGTTGACCATACTTCTACTGAAGTCAATAGAAGTTTTGCGACTGAAGTCAATGAGAGCAGGATCATGCCCCAAGTTTCCAGTCATACTCCAGGGCATTAATTACATGGCCATCCATTGTTTCCTTTAAAAAAATCATATTTAAATAGTTAAATGTTTTAAAATAACTTGCTTCTCTGTATAATTATTTATATACAGGGTAATGATAAAGATATTTTTATATTACCTTTTAGTGTCTTAGATCCTGAGGTGCTATAGTGCAGAAATTATAGGGAGTCCTTATTTGCTATCACTTTCCCTCACTGTAATCATTATAACAACAAATTAGAGAGTCTACCTCTGCTACCTGGGTTGAATACTTAATTTTCATTCTGTACTCTGAAGGATAGACCTATTGTGATGCTTTGTTCATTTTGCTGTTTCAGCTAGCTGAGAGAAGTGACATTAGTATTTTTATTATAACAAAGTGATTTTTTTCCTGAAATGTAATATGACACGTCACAGAGAAATCTAATCTAATCTAATCTAATCTGATCTGATATGATATGATCTGTCATAATTTGACATGTTTCATTGTTATTTATGCTTAAATGTATTTTGAAGGCAGTTTCCATTCATTGTGGTTTGTACAGGTTTACCCATCTATTTTCCCTCACCTAGACAGGTTGTGACTCAGACAAGCACACCTAGGATAATAATGGAGCAATATGAGTCAGAGATATAAAGAAAGGACATAAATGTTCAAGAAACAGGATGTTACAGAGTTGCTGTGTGTAGTCCAATGGTTCAATGATGACATTTTCATGCTCTTTTTGTGGATCCCACAGTGACACGGAAGTCCAAAACTTGATGCACATGCTTGTGAGCACACTGGGCAGACAAAGTCATTGATGAGCATCTTGGTAGCTATAGCAACAGTATGATGCTGTTCCCTGGCAGCCAATGATTTCTGTCTTGTGGCTATAACTGCAAGTAATCATCTTCACCTGTCTCTGTGCCACTCCCCCATGGACATAGGGCTTTTGACGAGAGAGAGAGAGATGTGCATGAATGATGTGTGTGAGAGGCTGGTTAAAATGGGAGCATCGTTGCACTGGGACAATCCCATTCTCTCAGCTGCTGAAGCTTGGGCAAATGGCACAAAGGCTGTTACCACCGGAGGCTTCTTTGGCTGCAGTGGATAGCCAGGACATCTCCGGTGCTCCATCATGCCTTTTGCCTTCCACAATACACTGCTGCCCTGCTTTTCAAGCTATTAGACCAAGATATGGTCACCTCCAGCTTGGCTACCAGAACAGTCTTCATATGTGTGGGAGGCCAATCCCTAAATCACTGTCAGTTTCCACACTTCTGGTTAGCCTCACCTGGCTTAGCCTGCCTGTGGAGGCAGTTTCCTGGGGTATGGCCGCTGTCACATACTTACAGCTCCTTGGAGCCACAGGTAAGAGCTGGGTGTACAGTGAGAGGAAAAGAACCACTCAAGGAGTGCATCAGCTCAAACTCTCAAAGGTACTACCTCTGCCATATATCTCACACACCCCTACATAAATAGTGGCTACAGGTTGTTAACTGTGTTGCCTTGGATTGGAAAGGGAAGTCCATGAAAATGAGATCCCTGCTTTCCGTGTGCCATAATTTATGTCCCCAAGACTCCCATGACTCCTGCTGGGATGGACTGGGGCAGTTCTACTTCTATTGGCAGAGTTCCTATGAAAGGGGGAGGTTCTCCACCCCTATCTCTGGCTTATGCAATACACAATTGATCAGATAAATTCTGGGCTGGATCTATCAGTCTGTTACAGCTGCTTTGTGCTGTCGCCCAGAATATAATTCCATCAACCACAGCTCACTCTGTCCTTCAAAACAATGACTCTCAACCTTTCCAGTCTATTGTACCCCTTTCAAGAGTCTGAGTTGTCCTCCTGTACCTCCAACTTTCCCCCACTTCAAAACTTACAAAAGCAGACATAACAATACAGCAGTGTCATAGCAGGCTATTACTACAATTACTTACTTTCTTATTTTTACCATGTAATATAAAATAAAGTAATTAGAATATAAATATTGCACTGACATTTCAGTGTATAGAATATAGAGCAATATAAACAAGTCATTGTATGAAATTTTACTTTGTAATGATATTGCTACTAAATTTTACGTAGCCTGTTTTAAAACTAGGCATATATTTAGATGAGTTAAGACCTCTGGGTATTCTCAGGGGTATATGTACCCCTGGTTATGTGATGGCTATGAATTTAGATGTCCAGAAGTGAGGCAATTCAAATGTACAGATTCTGCAGAAAGCATACTCACCCACACTGTACCCATAAAATGGCATAAAACCTAATATCATGTACTCTCATTAATGCATTATATATGTGCAAGCAAAACAAGCCACCATTGCTGGGGAAACCACAACATTTAATAACTCAGTAAATTACTGTACAGTGAATTACTTAATTAAAATAATATTGACTGAACAGAAGGTTTTTTTCCCATTGAGCAGCTACATAAATATTGGCACTTTTTAGAAGCTATTGGGCCAAATTAATTGAAATCAATGGAGTTGCAACAGGAATGAATTTGACCCATTGGGTGTTGGGCTGATGGAGAAAAAATTGCTGAAATCATGAGACTACTTGAGACACAGACCTCATGTGAGTCATATGAACACTGGCACAATAAGCTTCTAGCAACAGAGGAGCAGAGAGTCGGAAGAAAGAGATCAAGATAATATTTTTGTACTGAACTCAGGAGAACATGGGGGAAGTGCTGTGTGTAAATGCTCTGAAACCTGGATCATGCTGTTGCTGTTCAGACAGAAAGAACTCTCAGACCAGCCAGAGTACCCAGTCCGTGGAAGTGGAGTCTATGCTGAAGGTATTCCGTATCCCAGCCTGCATTTGAGCAGGGAGATAAATGAAGGATCTCAGATCTTTCAGTCTGTTTGGAAGTCTGACGTATCTGCTCCTTTCTTCTAATCCACCGAGGGTCACACTTTCCATTGAAACCACACAGAGGACGTCTAGCCATGTCACCTTTAGTTTTATGGGATCCCTGCTGAGAGGAATTATAATTGCCCCATGCTTTAGGTTCTGAAGAATTCCCTCAATCTGATGTTTTCAGAGGAGAAGTCCCACTCCAGCTCTCTCTGTGCAAGACAGGAAGGGGAGCCAAAGATTTACAGCTTGCTGAAGAAGGCATCTTGCTGTGGATTAGAAATCCTGTTACATCTGGATTAAATAGTAAACCAGTGCAGTTGTACTATATGTGCTTGGAGGCGGCACACCATTCATTATTATTTGCATTGAATGTTGCTATAGCGCCATAACGTTGCATGGTGTTTTACAGCAATAAAAAGACAACGGGCCAAATTCAGAGATAATGTATAACTGTGCATCAATTATGTAGTGGTAAGAGAGTTTCAGTATGAAAGCTAGTTGTGGAGGAAGGGAGGAGAAGATGTTAATTTAGAGTCCCGGAAACCTCTCTTCTGAATTTGGTTTATAAACCCTGCCCCAAAAAAGATTATAACCAAAACGGGTAAATCAGCCCAGCTACTGATGCACTCTTAAATATCAGCATCCCAAGCTATACCATATACAAAAGCTGCAGCATTTAAACAGTTGCTCCCATTATGGCTACTTAGAGAATCAGCATTTGGGCACGAGTGTGGGAAAGGAGATGGAAAAGAAAACAAGAGCTGAAAACCAGAGGGAATGAGGAGGAAAAAAAGAAAAAGAAAATCATTGGTAAGTAGGAGAAATTTGTCTTTGACTTAGTTTGTTTCCCCCTCCCAGTTACCAGATCTGAAGAGAGTGCCACATCCCATGGATTCGCTCCAATCACAGTGGTTCCAAACACTCCCGGTACAAAGGTCTGGGAGAAAGAGACCACGGAGTAACAGCGATCCTTCACAGGAGATGGATTTCGAGAAGAGATTCCAGTGGGTGAGTGCAGTACATATGAATCCTAGTATAAGATGTTTATCCAGAGATGATTGTTAGCTGCGAATCATGGTATAATTACCACATATTGTACGCAGAATGGACGTCATACAATTAGCTTTTGTTTTTGCTGGAAGAAAAAGGGATCTGAAAACATGTCTTTTCCTTATTTAAACAGAGACAGGGCCTCCCATTTGGAACAGCCTCATCCTATCTCTATTTAGAGAAGCTGTGCGAAGGCTCTTACTCTACAGTTTACAAGGGGATTAGCAGGTGAGCAGGTTCCAGAGGGAATGCCATTTTTGCCAGTCATTTAGTCCACTGAAACCAGTGGAAATTCCCAAGAATGAAGTTGAAATGAGATGATTCTGAATATTCAAATGACAGACAGGCCAACAAAAGGTTTTGTTTTCATTAACTGGGGTATTACATTGGTGAGACCCATCTAAGTCTCTCTGAGAGGTTATTTGTTAGGATGAAGGGCGCTTTGCCCTGCCAGAGCTATGCAAAGTCATCTTAAAGGAGGAGTTCTGGATTCCCCTGACGAGCAGAATCCTCCGATGGTGTGAAACGGGTTAAGTCCTCAGGGTATGTCTACACTACAGCACTAATTCGAACTAACTTAATTCAAATTAGTTAATTCGAACTAAGCTAATTCGAATTAGTGCATCTAGACCTAAAAACTAGTTCAAATTAGCATTTTGCTAATTCGAACTAGCATGTCCACATTGAGTGGACCCTGAACCGGGGTTAAGGATGGCCGGAAGCAGTGCCGGCAGGGCATCAGATTAGGACTTAGAGCGTGGAGCTAGCCGAGGGCTGTGCTTAAAGGGACCCGACCCCCACCCCGGACAGACAGTTCTCAGGGGTTCCCCGCTTGCAAAGCAGTCCTGGCTTGGAGTGCCCTGAGTGCCGACACTCGGCACATCACAGCACTCGGCCATCAGCCCGGCTGCACTTGCTGCAGGCTGCCATCCGGGGAGGGGGGTCAATCAGGGAGCTGCAGGAGAGCTTCCACCCCGAGGAGCCTGCAGAGCCACCCCAGTCCTCCCCATCGGGGGCTCGTACCCCATTCCTCCCTCACCTCCTTCCACTTACCCCTCCCTAGCCCCCCTTCCTGATGTACAAAATAAAGGACACGTGTGTTCAAAAATAGAAACTCTCTTTATTGAACAAAACTCGGGGAGACTGGGAAAAGGAGGTGGGAGAGGGGAAGAGAGAGGGTGGGAGAGGGGAGGGTAACTAAAATGATCAGGGGTTTGGAACAGGTCCCATA